TTTTTTTTCTTTTCCCTTATTACCTTTCCCCTGCCCTTCCCACTTCCCCTACAACTTTAGCCCTTTTCTTCCTATTCATATTGTCAATTATACCATTAGGATATTATGTACCATTATAGTTTTTCATACCAGAGAAATTATTCGGTATTTATACATGTGTGACCTATTTATTTCACTAAAGAGTATATCCTCAAAATGTATCCATTTTGCCATGAATTTTCCTATAATTTCTCATTCTTTATGGCTGAGTAGTATTTCATTTTATAGAAAAACCACATCTTCTTTATCCAGTCTCCAATTGATGGGCAAATGGGCTGTTTCCAAGTTTTAGCTATTGAAGCTGTGTTTTCTAAGAACTAAGCTGAATAATGCCAGAGGTGGGAAGAATGCCAGGGGCTGGGTATATACAGTCAGCCTTTACTGTTCTGACAAGGTCCTGGCAAATTCCAGCTTTGGGTACTTGGTATCTTTCTGGTGTTCTGAAGATGCGGATGTTACATATTGCACAGTGGAGGGGGGCTAACAATAAGGGCCTCACAGTAATGTAGGGCACATCCTTTACGATCCTTGGTTGGCCTTTGCTACAACTCTTGAGGTATTTTGTGTATCCCTATTTTAGAGAGAGGGATCTTAAAATGAGGATGGACTCAGCTTATGGGCCTGTGATATGTAAAGGGAGGAGCTGGAATTTGGATCTAGGTTTTTAGTGATTGTAATGCCATTGTTGTTTGCGCTGCTTTGTGTCCCCCTATTCATTTCTTAGACTTCGTTGCTGTTGAGTAATCTGCACACAGTACTGTGTGGCAATTGTCTGCGAATGGATTACTTGGTAATAGATTTGGCTTTGATGCTTAATGTCTTCCAGCATCGTGTCATTCATTTGTTAACAGAGGAGGTTTCATTGTCAAGTAACAGGAAAATAAGGTTATTTTCCCAATTCCAATCTCTTTAACAAGTTACCTGCTCAACGCTCTCATTTATCTTGGGAAGAATTAGACCCTTCTTCATTTGTAACCAAATGAAATCCATACTATGCAAGACACAGGAGATATTTATCAGAGAGAAGACAGAGGACACAGAGAGAAGGGCGCTCCACAATTATGTTTCTCTCTCCCCAGTTGTCTTTACAGAACAGAGTGGTGCTGTCTCTGGATTTAATTTAGAATACTCATTACTGCTAATAGTTATCTGCAAACCACCAGTGACCAATTGAAGAAATGACTTGTCAGATCTCTAATGGAAACAAGTAATTTCTGAGCTTTGAGTTGTTATAATTTCAGCAGTACAATGCGATCTATGCTGTGGGGTCTGGGGCCTCAAACGAATGAGATTTGATTATTCCACATCGTGTATAATTAAAATACGCTCTGCTGTTAAGTGGTTGTTCCTGTTTTATCATAAGAGTAATAATCGCTACTGTTTATTGAGTTCTTGCCCTGAGTTGGGTGCTTTATATTAAGTTCTCTATACATTCCTTTAATATTAAAGCAGCTTTCTAAGATAGAGAGCTATTACTTATTTTTGAGGGGCACAGTTTTAAATTTTATTTCTAGATGGGCAGATTTAACAGCATTGTAAAATTTTTGTTTCACATTTTGTTAATCTGTCTTTTGAGCCAGAAGGAATCCTGAATCCCCCTCTCTTTATTATATGTAGGAGAAACTGAGGCCCAGGGATATAAAGTGACAGAGCCATTCTCAGAGATACCCTGAGGCTGCCTGAGGCTCACAGCTTCTAGAGCCAGACTGCCTGTGTGTTCACTTCTGCTTGGTGACCTTGGGCCACCCTGTGCTTGCCTCACCCTTGACACGGGTGTAGAGATGGTGCCGACTTCACAGAGCTCTCGGGAAGATGGACGCATAACGCATGCATTCGTGGCATGGAGTACATTCCATGTGCTAGCTGTTTCTCCTTCTTTCTGTTATCATTTATCCCTACTCTGCCGTGTGATTCAAGTTGCTCTTGCCCCGACTGTTCTTTGTGGCCTAAGTCTTGTTTTACTTGAAGGTGGGGGAGAGCCTTCTGTGCCAATATGTTTTAAGATTTATGTTTTTTCTTTATGACTGTGGTCCTTGGGCTGCTGTTAGGTTTTTATGGCACTGATATTTTTTATTGTAGCATTTTCAAGAGCACATTCTGCAGCTGAAATTGAAATGACCACACTATTTTCAATGTCTCCCTTTTAGGTCTTTCATAAGTCACTGAAATTTTTCATTTGGCCTCAGTTTCATGTAGTAGCTCAGGCTGTAGATCTCTGTGTGGTGGTGGACTGAACTTTCTGTGAGATGCTTATAGGAAGTGCATTGGTCATCTAAAGCTAATATCCAGTGAGCAGGCATATTAAAGGGGGCTAGAATACTTCTGATTTAAAGGGGGAACTCGTGATTCCTCTATTCTAGTCTTAGCTGACTGACGTCTGAACATCAGCAGTTGTATTTAGTCCCTAAAGAGTTAGTCATAATGAATCATGCACACTCATATTTATATCAGCATAGTTTATAATAGCTAAATTGTGGATGATGGCCTACCTGCCCATCATCAGATGAATGGATAAGAAAATACGGTATTTGTACACAGTGGAATACTAGTGTGCCACGAGTAAGGAAAAACTTAAGGCATTTGTAGGTAAATGGATGTGCCCTGAGACCAAATGTTAAGTGAAATAAATCAGACACAAGCTTAAATATGGCATGGTTTCTCTTATATGAGAAACTCAAAATATAAATAAAGAGTAAAAGATAATAGGGAGTAGGTAGATCTTTTTCAAATGGGGAGGAGAACAAGATATGGAGGGAGGTGGAAGGGAGGGAAGGGAAAGGGGATGGAAAAAAATTGAAGAAAGAAATGGAAATAGTGGTCCGGGGATTTAGCTCAGCGGTTCGGTGGCCTGCCTTGCAAGCGCAAGGACCCGAGTTCAATCCCCGGTACCAAAAAAAAGAAATGGGAATAGAGCTTTTAAAAATGGGAAGGGGACCAAGAATTGGAAGAAGCAGAGATGCGTAGAAGGAGTAGAGGACAAGAAAGGAATTAAGATGTGTTATGTAGCTGGACGTGGTGGCACACACCTATAATCCCAGCACTCGGGAGGCTGAGGCAGGAGGATCGCTGTGAGTTCGAGACCAGCCTGGGCTACATAGTGAATTCCAGGTCAGTCTCACTACATAGTGAGACCCTGTCTCAACTCCCCCCCGCAAAAAAAAGATGTGTTATGTAAATGTACCAACTCCCCATGATAAATGTAAACATTATGTACTGCAAACATGTACTAATAAAAAAAGTAGTTGAATTTAGTGAGGGTCTAATAAGACAAAGGTTCGCTTGTGGTTTTGCTCCCACTCATCCATTCAGTAAGCAGTTTCACATGTATGCCTTATGCCAGTCTGCCACCAGGGACTTGGAAATCTGTGATGGATTAAAGCCAGGTAGTTTCCCTGAGTCTAACTGGGACGATGGAGAGGAACATGACACACTGATATAGTAAGGTAAGAACCAGGTGCTGCGAGGCCACAGAGTTGGGCCTCTGAATGACAGGCAGGTCAGGGAAGCCTCTTTGGGTCAGCTTTTTTCCGAGTCAGGGCACTGGGACAAGTAGGGATTGGGCAGACAGAGAGGGCTGGGAGAGCATCACAGGTATAAGCACTCATGCAGGATTGAGCGAGCACAGCAGAGCCGGATGAGTTCAAGGAATTGTAAGTTCCCTTTGGCTGGAATGAAGCTCTGTGAGGGAAATGAAGCCACCAAAGGAGGCAGGAGCCAGATCCTGCAGGTTCCTGAGTTTTGTCCTAAAGACGAAAGGAACCAGTGATGGGTGCTAACATGGGGTGGAAATGATCAGAAGTGTGCTTTCAGAGTTACGCAGGCTGGCAACTGTGAGGAAGAGTTTGGAGGGAAGCAAGGTGGTGTCAAGGTGATAAAGCAGGAGCTGCTGCAGTGGGGTAGGCCAGAGGGAGTAAGGTGGGCATGAAGGAGCTGCAGTTGAGATTGTACGTAGGCCGGCCTGGCCTGACCCTGGAAGAGCTACAGCGTCCTGACATCCAGTCCGCTCTTTGACACGTGGGGTCTCAGAGCCCTGAGGGGCGGGCGGGTCTGATTCAGATTCTGAACCCAGGCCTCTGGCAGCAGTCCTTTCACCCTCATCTCAGTGCTGTGCATGTGCTCACTGATGTGTAAAGACTGCTTACTTTCCTTTGGGTCTTTAAACTGCTGATCTATGGTCCAGGGTCCGCATTAGCTTCCAACGTAATCACTTGTGTGGAAGGCCTAGCAGTGGGAAGTTGGTGAGGCAGTTTGGTCTTCAGTAGGAGCCTCCTCACTGGTCCTTCCCAGATGGTAATGTCGTGGGGAGCTCTTTGGGCTGAAGAAGGCCGGCGGGAGGTAGTGTTTTGGGAAGCCCCGTGCTTCTCAGCTGTGACCTGTTCTGGACACTAAGGTCTCTCTCCCCCCTCTCTCTTTTTCTTTAAAAGTTTGGACTGAGGAAAATCCAGAGACTGGCATGGTATATCCAGTCCTGGCAGCTGCCTTTATCATTATATAGAAGAATTTAATTCTGGCTTTTGACAGGGACTGACATGAATAGTTTTTCATTGCAATACTAATGGAAGGCATTATTTAGTGTCCAGATATTTCATAATAATGTGTATTAAAACGAATGGGTTGGGCCATAATTTACATAATTGCCTACTGTGGCACATTT